ATGAATCACTGGCCTCATTCCAGACAAACTTGACCCCTTTCCGGGTCAAACGGGTCATAGGAGCTGCCAAACGGGAGAAATCCTTCACAAATCTCTGATAGTAACCCGCTAAACCAAGAACACTACGGATCTCAAACATATTCTTGGGTCGCTCCCAAGTCAAAACTGCTTCAACCTTTGATGGATCAACTGATACTCCACCTTCTGAAACAACATGCCCCAAAAACTTCACCTCCTGTAGCCAAAACTCACATTTCTCGTATTTGGCATACAATCGGTGCTCCCGCAAAATCTGTAAAACAATACTCAAATGGACCTCATGATCTTCCCGAGTCCGTGAGTATACAAAAATGTCATCCACGAAAACTACCACAAACTAGTCCAAGTAATCGTGAAAGACGCGGTTCATCAAGTCCATGAATGCCGCTGGCGCATTAGTCAAGCCAAAAGGCATAACAACGAACTCATAGTGTCCATACCATGTACGGAATGCTGTCTTCGGGATATCTTCATCCCTAACCCGCAACTGATAATAGCCAGACCTCAAGTCAATCTTTGAGAAATAACTGGCTCCCCTCAACTGATCAAATAAATCATCTATCCTTGGCAATGGATACTTGTTCTTGATGGTGGCATGATTCAACTTCTGGTAATCAATGCACAACCTCAAAGATCCATCTTTCTTCTTAGCAAATAAGACCGGTGCGCCCCACGGTGACACACTCGGTCGGATGAAACCTTTCATCCTCAAATCATCAAGCTGCCTCTTCAATTCTTCCAATTCAACTGGGGCCATTCGATATGGTGCCATAGAAATCAGCGCGGTACCTGGCATCAAATCAATAGAGAACTCCACTCCTCGGTGTGGAGGCAACTCTGTTAAATCCTCCGGAAACACGTCCAGAAAATCACAAACAACCGCAGGATAATCCTCTTTCCCAACATCATCTTCTTCGGCTATAAGGCTAGCCAAGAAGTAATCACCATAACTTCGTCCACGAACTCCATAAAACGATGAAATGTGGGAATCACTCCGATCTCCCACGAAAAAGAAACAGTCTCCCTCGGGAGTGCAAACTGTAACCTTTCCTCTGTAACAGTTGATCGTGGCATGAAATGAAGCCAACCAATCCATCCTGAGAATGACATCAAAGCTAGTCATCTCCAGGAGGATAAGGTCAAACACGAAAGTCCGCCTGACTATCATAATGGGACACTCCCGCACAATTCGGCTCAACAACACTGAAACCCCAACTAGCGTATCAACACTCAACACCCGTTCCAAGAAACTAACTTCCAACCCCGATGCAAGTGCAAATGATGATGAAATGAAAGAATGAGATACACCAGAGTCAAACAAAACACGGGCCCAACAACCAAACACTGGAAATATACCTCGAAGAACTGACGGTCCAGAAGATGCATCGGTCTGTGCCAATGCAAAAACACGTCCCTGTGGTACCTGTGCCTGAGGACTGCCAACCTGAACACCTGACTGCTGCACTAACATAGTAGGAGTATCCCTCCTAACTGACCGTGAACCCTGTGAAGACATGGCAGGCTGTGGTGGTGGCGGTCTGAAACCTGACTGAACTGTAGCCGACCGAGACGGCCTCTGTCGTGACCCCCTGCCATTACCTGTGCCTGCTCCCTGGCCTGGACAATCACGAATCAAGTGACCCTGCTGGCCACACCCATAACAAGCCTTCGGAGCTGACGAAATTGAAGACGATCTCATCGGACAACTGGACTTGTAATGCCTAGGCTGCTGACATTGATAACAAACAACTGCACTCCTGTCAGATCCAGCTGGCATAGGAGTGGTAGGAGCAGATCTTGTAGACTGTTGTCCCTGAAACTGAGATGAACCACCCTTGTTCTTCTTCCAAGAAGATCCCTATGAAGATAGCCCTGCACCCCTCTTTTGCTTCCATTGTTCTCTTCTTGCATCTTTCTCTTTATTATCAGCCTCCAACATCAAAGCCCTTTCCACTGCTTCAGAATAAACCTTAATGAACTGTGCCATGATCAACAGCCTCATCCGATCATTAAGACCGGAAACAAACTTCCGAGTCTTATTAGCTTCATCTCTCACCACTTCTGGAGCAAAACGGGAGAGTGAGGTGAACTTGTTCTCATACTCCGCGACTGACATGTTCCCTTGAATAAGATTATGAAACTGGTCTTGTAACTCCCATCTTTTGGAAAGCGGAAAATACTTCTCATAAAATAGCTCCTTGAACCTGTCCCAACTCATCTCTTCAATCTTGTACTGGTTGGTGATCGACTTCCACCAAACCTTGGCATCCATAGCAAACTTGTAAGTTGCTAGGATGATCTTCAAGTGATCCTCTGTCACATCCATTGAGGTTAGTTGGGTTTCAACTTGATCCAAGTAGTCATCTGCTACCATTGGATCCGCACTGCCCTCAAACACTACCGGCATCAACTGAGAAAACCCTTTTATGATCTTGAGACGCTTCTGAGCTGGCGTCTCCTTAACTTGAACTGTAAGTTGTGGTGTCGACTGCGACTGAGCAGTAATCGTTGCCCTCACGACATTTTACAACAAACGATTAAACTCCAGTACCACAGAACCTTCACCCACTTCTACGGGTACGGGTGTTTCAACATTCTCTCTTCTTGGGGGAACAGCTCTTGGGGGAATCAAGTCCCTAAGAAGCATGTTCTCATCATTTAGCTCCTCCGGATTGGAGCTGGAGATCTCACCAACATCACCCCTTGTTGGCCTAGGGCCAACTTCTCTAGGTTCCTCACGCCGTGACATTGTGCTATAAAACGAGAAAACGATTCAGAAACATGACACTAAGACTGTGGACGACTCAACAAGAATTGATACCGTACAACACTTAGCATACAAGACTATGCAAGAAACATTTTAACATAAACAAGTAAGCAGTAAGCACATAGGCAGTTAAGCATGCTCATTTAAGTAAAATATCACGTAGCAAGTAGTCAAGTAAGCAACACAAACAACATTCCATGTGACCCTAAGTAGGCCTCTACCCGTCGTCCTAAAGGTTTTCGAACCTTTGCTCTGATACCAAATTTGTAACGACTCAAAACTAATACTTTATAAACAAAAAAAAATCGGCATGACCTCCCCTAAAAATAGGCCTATCACAACCTGTTTAATTGCATTTTTAACCTGTCATGGCTCAAATTCCGAATTCACAGCAACAAAAGATAATGATACAACCAACTAATCTAGACAATGCTTCAAACTAGGATTATCCATCCATTCATCAACAAGTTGCATACTATCAAATCCCTATCCAAAATATCATCAATACTTTAGTTATATTACATGACAAAGTTCCACAAAATAATTATACATCTTTGCACTTCTAGTGTTTTACAAAATAATGGGGAATATACAAAGATACAAAAGTGGACTTCTAACGCCGTTCAAGCTTGAGGTGGGTTGTCATCCACCAGTTCCTTTCCAAGACCTGAAAAAAATATATATAGATATAGGGGTGAGCATATAGCTCAGCAGGTGACACTTAAGACACAATTCTTGTGTCCTAGTGAATCCAAATAAAGCATAGGCCAATGGGAGATTGGGGACATGCATTGAAGGGGAAAAATAAATACAAGTACAAGTCAAATTCAATCACACACAAATGCAAATGGAGTGAGATGCAATGCATGCTAAAGTCACTCCCCGTTTTCATTCTCAAAACCATCACGTTCAAAGTTAATGTAACCTCCTTTGGTAACCCCGCCGCGACAAGAGGAGGATTGGCTACCGTCCCTAGGCCCTTGGTGATCCCGTGGCGCCGTCGAGGGGCCCGAATAGCTCAACCACGCTAGGGTACTCTCCCTAGTCCTCCCTAGGCTACATTAACCTCTGGCCCGTTGGTAACCCCGCAGCGACCGGGTTTGTCAAAACCAATTTTTTTCCAAAACATTCATTCCCAAATCCCCATTTTCATTTCAAGACAACCACTTCCCTTTTTCATGCAACCCAATGAGATGTAGGCTCATGTCATGATCTCAATATAATGACAAATGGGAACTTAGCACAATAATAAATAAGCATGTTCTCATGGCATCATTATAGCATGTTAGTAACCTCAAAAAAAAATGTAAACAACCATCACATGGACATACTTTTCATTCAACCATGTTATACACATTTACATAACTAGCATGTTGTCAATTAAATCATTTTAATGAAAATCAACAACAATTAAACATGCTATAACACACATAGAGGAGCATGATTCATTATAGAGCAAGATTCCATGGCTTAAGATGTCCCTACCTCACAATCCAAGCCGAAATCCCTAGAATAGGTCCTCCAAATTCGAGCTCCAAGGAAGACTCAAATATGGAAATTGATAGTATGGATGCGTAGAGCTCGCTACAAGTTTCGTTTCGCCTCAAACGGTTCCTAAATCCGATGAAAGATGATTGAGTAATCAAACCTCAAAGTTTTTGTCTCCAAAATGAAAGAAAAAGAGAAGGAACCGAGAGGGAGAGAGAGCATACGGGAAAGAGAAAGAAAATGAGAAAGAAAAGAAGATTTCTTGGCCAAATAAGTTAGTGGTGGGCCCCACTTGAAATTATTTTCCTTTTCTCTTTAAATTTTTTTTTTTTTTTGTCTCTAATTACACCACAAATACACAATTGCACCATACAAATGCTACATCACCACATAAATTAAAATGTAGAAAATGTAACTGGACCCAACCACAAACCCGGATGGTAAAGTGAAAAGACGAAAATGCCCTTGCATTAAAAATTCTAAAATGCTGAAAATTAGAATTATCACATGGCAGGAGCCTTGCATGTAAATGGATAAATTCCAATCTTTCCCGAGAACACTTCATTACCAGATGTATCAAATCGTGCCTAGCAACAGCTGCTAAAAACATGACCTTTGTAATGAATCGCTTGCTCTTACAAGTGCGTACGGGTTTAGCTTCTTCCGGAAGAAGATAATATTTATCTGCTTCTTTAGACATATAAAATCACTTTTCATCAATGTGGACATGGTTAAACATATTGCAGAAAATTGGCATATTGTGAAGACTAGATGGCTCAAGCATTGACAAACAGTGCATAAGCCTTGCCTTTTTGTTTTCTTCTGATAAATACGGCTTCAATACATTTGAATGCGGTCTAATAAAACCCTCTTTGATTCTTCTATGGAGTGTTGATTTAGCAACTTGCATAGCAAACGATAAAGATCGAATGTTTGTTCGTTGCCGAAGAGGAATTTCTGAGACTTTACTGCAATCAATTTGTACCCGCTTGCGACCAACTCTCTTCGGCTTCTTGTCGGATACATCAACTACAAACCCATTTGAAAAACTTGTCATTGCTTGCTGCCAAATTCGTTGAACTGTTCTTACGCAAACAGAAAACATTTTTGCTGTGGCACTTATTGAGCCCTTTTTTAATTTTCCATTTTCACTTTTCTTTAACAGAACTGCAAAAATTGCTTGGCGTTCTTCATTAGTTAAATTTTTTCTGGCGTTGGGCTGAACAAAATTTGAACTTGATAATATTTCCATCTTAAATTTGAAACCTAAGTAGTGCAAAGAGTAAAGAAAGAGAACCGAGGAATGATAAGCATGAGAGAGATAACAAAAGATAAAAGTTTGGATAAAGATGAACTACTTTTAAAGATGGTAATAAGTTAGAACTCCTTACATGAAAAAGATGAACTCCTTTGGATAAGAGCAACAGAGTCTTTGTGGGTTGAACTCCTTACATGAAAAAAATGAACTTGATCCTTTTGTAACATCAACAGAGTATATGGATTATGAGTGTAACAGCAATAGAGTATGTGGGTTATGAGTTTTTTGAATAAGGGTAACAGAGTATGTGATTTAGCTGGATTGTGTTAAAGAAAAATAATCTAATCTATTCAATTTGAATTTGTAAATAAGCGCGCATTTGATGAATTTAGTTTAAAACATGGAGTACTCTGTATTGCATATTGGCGCCAACATTTAAGAAACTCTGGTAAAAGTTTACTGCATTAAGTGGTATGGGTGAAGACAAATTTTTGTACAGTACTGGTAAATTACTACAGGGGCATATTTGAAAATTCATCTCATACTACTATAAAAAAAAAATCATAAAAAATAACACTCTTAAAAAGTTGTCTTCCTACACCCTTTGCGGGACGGAGGGAGATCCTGGCGGCCACATCTCTATGCAATCACGGCGAAGGGCTAGACACTGCAGTGTAATTAATAAATTGGTGGTGGTCGTTGGTGATGGGTGGTGGTGGATATTCATGGTCTTGTGGACGGTGGTGGTTTGGAGGGAGGGAAGATGCAGAACCAGAGATTGTGGGTGGAGTCGACGGCGACCTCCGAGGTCTTGTCGCCTTTGATGGGCTTCAAAATTTGGAATTGGGTGGAGCTCTGTCGCGAAGGAAGCAACCACCGTCGACGGCGTTGGGTGGAGCTTTGACGTTGCAAGCGTCGTATTTCAGCGCGTCGAGGTGCCTTTCAGGCTGGCCGGCATGAATGAGCGATGAGTGGTAAGCCTAGGCTGAATTGAGTTAACAACTACAAATAGAACTACGAAAAGTTTCCTCAATGGAGTCCAAATTCTGGCCTTTGTGGATTGAATCGTTATGAACGAGGTTATATTCACATGATCGAGAACTGTATGATTTGTTAACCAAATGATAAACAAACAGTCTCCTAAGAAAGTGGAATTTGAGCAATGCTATTAGACTACTACTACTTGCCATATTTGATCAGTCAATCACTGTAGTTGGTCATTTTATCTTTCATTTTGAAACACAATGATTGTAATATTTTGCATGACCAAACCACAAAGATAATGTAAATTCACCAAACAGGCAGTAATAGTATAGGAAGGCTGTGACTAATGATTTTATTTTATTTTTTAGTTCACAGAACTTTACTATCAACAATATTGATCGGTTTTTTCCATTTCAAAGAGAATTGTTTTCAACAATTGAGATATTTATGCTTTAAGTAGACCTAAAGATGGCATTGTAATAAATTAATAATCAAGTCGGATCACCATGGTCTCTGTTTTAGAATTTATTTACCCCACTGGACTGGTTTGATATTTGCTGTCCTTTTCTATATTATGATGAATCCTCCTTCCAATAGCTTGGTAATTGCCATCTTAAGAATAAGGAACTGAACTCAAATAGTTCAAATGATTAAAAGTCTTCCATCTCTTATCCTCTAGTAATTAATATTTTTAGTGACTAGGGGGAAAGAATGAGGTTCTTCGTGAATGGTTTGCTATTAGTTTTCACACAAAATGGGTTTATATATATATATATATATATATATAATATGTTCAAACAAAATGGGTAAGCGTATATATGTATGTATATATAGTTTTAGGGATATTTTAGTCTTTGGGTAAAGTACAGCCACACCCCCTCAGGTTTGGTAAAAGGACACTCAGATGAAACTTACCTATTTTTTGGATAAAGCCTGAATGTTCAAAAATGGACAAAAACATCCCTTTACATAAAAAATTGACCAAATTACCCTTTGACCGTTTAGGAGACTTTTTTTTAACTTTATAATTTAATAAATTGGACCAATTTACCCTCATAAATAATTTATACATAAAAAAAAAGTAAAAAAAAAAAAACTTTATATAGTTCACTTTTTTTTTTTTTTTTGGCTATTTACTTTATAAATGTCCCAACTTCATAAAAATGTAGACGTCTAAAATGATTTTTTGATTCAATACATATATTTCAAATAAATTATATTTTATTATTACTTCTTTTCTTATTCTTTTTTATTTTTAAATTAAGATATTTAATTATTACATCTAAAAAAATTAAACCAATCTCTTTTCCTTAAAAATAAAAAATATAGTACCAGTATAACTTTATACATCTTAAATTATATATCAAATATTATGCATTTCCCAATATAAAAGAAAATAGATACCAGTATAACTTTATGCATTTTAACTTTGTGCATGCCTTTGTTTATTTTTTTTCCCTTTGTTTTATAATTTTTTTTCCCTTTGTTTTACTGTTTTTTTTCCCTTTTATATTGGGAAATGCATAATATTTGTTATATAATTTAAGATACATAAAGTTATACTGGTACCATATTTTTTTTATTTTTAAGGAAAAGAGATTGGTTTAATTTTTTTAGATGAAAGAATTAAGCATCTTGATTTAAAAAAAAAAAAGAAAAAGAAAAGAAGTAATAACAAAATATAATTTATTTGAAATTTATGTATTGGATTCAAAAAATCATTTAGACGTCTACATTTTTAAGAAGTTGGGACATTTAAAAATAATAAAAAAAGGTGAACAATATAAAGTTTTTTTTTTTTTTTTTTTACATAAATTATTCATGAGAGTGGATTGGTCCAATTTATTAAATTGTAAAGTTAAAAAAGTCTCCTAAATAGTCAAATGGTAATTTGGTCAATGTCTCATGTAAAGGGGTGTCTTTGTCCATTTTTTAACCTTCAGGGGGTGTCTTTGTCCAAAAAAATAGGTAAGTTTCCTCTAAGTGTCCTTTTGCCAAACCTCAAAGGGTGTGGCTGTACTTTATCCTTAGTCTTTTTATCTAATTCTTAGGTTAACGAGTTGTTTTAACAAAGTCAAGGGGTATTTAGGTCATTTTATATTGTGTCATAATTGTGCAAGTAATGATTGAGGTGTGAGTGAAAAACGGAGTAAAAGTTTGTAATGTAAATGATAGTTATTTTCGAAAGATATTTGAGGGTAATATTTAATCAAACTTCAAGGGGTGTAAGTGAAATTAACCCTAATTTAATTCATAGATGTCGACGTCCTGAACATATATAAAGAGAGTAATATAAAGAGATGGAGAGAGAGAGAGAACGGAAGAGAGACAGAGAGAATGAAAATTTGTTATTCCAAAAACACACACCAGTAGTACATATGTATGGACATATATATAGGCGCAGGAATTGGCTTCCCTAAGAAGCCACTACTAAAATCTTCCTCTGTAAGCTTTAAATTGTGATGTCATGGATGACATACTTCATTGTGGGCCCTACTTCCATTTTATATATATACATAACACTCCCCCTTGGGGTCCATAATACTACATTAAGAATATGCCTCGTTAAAAACCTTGCTAAGGAAAACCCGGTGGGACAAAACCCTAGCGAAGGAAAAAGAGTACAGTATTCTTATGTATCTGAAAATGATATTGCATAGATTAAAACTACCTCATTAAAACCTTGTCAACAAACCCAGTGGGATAAAACCTGGACGAAGGAAAAAGAGTACAGTATGCTAATACCTCTTCGATCAATTACTCCCCCTCATTAGATCAATCCTGAATATCATTTAGTTGACGCATTCCAATGTTGTGCACCAGTTTCTTGAATGTTGTAGTTGGAAGCGTTTTAGTGACTAGATCTACTAGATTTTCACATGAACGTATCTTATGAATATCAATATCACCCTTTTTCTGGAGTCATATTCAAAAAAGAATTTTGGTAAGATGTGCTTGGTCCTGTCACTTTTAATATACCCTTCTTTCATCTGTGCAATGAATGCCGCATTATCTTCATATAATATTGTTGGGCTATCTTTTATTGATGAGAGACCACATGTTGTTCGAATATGTTGGATCATTGATCTCAACCAAATGAATTCCCTGTTTGCCTCATGAATTGCGAGTATCTTAGAATGATTTGAAGAAGTTGCAATCATTGTCTGTTTCATTGATCGCCATGATATAGCAGTGCCGCCACAGGTAAACACATATCCTGTTTGTGAATAGGCTTTATGTGGGTCAGAGAGATAGCCGGCATCAGCATATCCAACTAATTGAGAATTTGATGCTTTTGAATAAAATAATCCCATATCAGTTGTACCACGAAGATATCGCAATATGTGTTTGATTCTATTCCAATGTCTGCGAGTTGGTGCAGACCTGTACCTTGCTAATAAATTGACTGGAAAAATTATGTCAGGTCTTGTGCAATTTGCAAGATACAAAAGAGCACCAATCGCACTAAGATAAGGCACTTCAGGACTAAGGGGTTCTTCATCATCCTCTCGAGGACGAAAAAGATCTTTCTTGATGTCAAGTGATCGGACAATCATTGGGAAGCTCAATGGATAGGCTTTATCCATATGAAAATGTTTCAGAATCTTTTCTGTATATGTTAATTGATGGATGAGAAAACCGCTTGAAAAATATTCAACCTGCAACCCAAGGCAGAATTTTGTCTTTCCGAGATCTTTCATTTCGAATTCTTTCTTTAAATAAATGGCCGTCTTTTCGATCTCACCCAATGTTCCCACAAGATTCAGATCATCAACATATACTGCAACAATAACAAAACCAGATTCTGATTTGTTAATAAAAATGCATGGACAAATATGACTGTTCACATACCCTTCCTTGAGTAAGTAATCGCTAAGGCAATTGTACCATATTCGTCCAGATTGCTTCAATCCATACAAGGATCGTTGTAATTTTATCGAGTGCATATTACGTGGTTTTGTTTCAAGCATTTTAAATCCTTTTAGAATTTTCATATAAATATCACTATC